AGTACCTGCTGTTCTGCATGAACTGGATTAACTTTTCATGGCAGTTCTCCTTGCGACAGAAAATAAGTGAAAATCTTCCCTGGAAATTGTGTTGGCTGTTTCTAAACTTCAAATGTTATCAACGGCTTTTTTTCAATGTCATATGTATGTCTACCTGGCATGTCTGTGTTCCGCTCGTCTGTGAATATAGAGAATGAAAAATGCAGAGCAGCCATCGACTTTCAAGCTTCCCTTCGTTTGATGTCACTGCAATAAGGTGTTTTTTACATTGTTTCAAGTCCCCTTAGAGACTAGCAACAATTGCCATGGCTGACTGTTTTCAAGTCATCCTGGCAGGGTATTGGGTTAAGTTTTCAACCAGCAATAATCCTGTCTCAGGTGTCCTTCACAGACTACGATATTGCCTCTGCGCAAGAATAACAGGCCGTCGCTCCAGTGTTTCTTAGCACTTGAAGGTTCAGTGGCCACACAGACGGTGCGATACTTTACCAATTTAAATGCCATATTCCTATTGCAGTTTCATGGTCCTTAAAACCATGTGACATAGAAGAAATTAAACATTTTAGTGTACAATGAAAGTGTACAACGTTGCAGGGAAGATGTGAACTGTACATCTGATAAGGCATACAAAGCATTGTGGGTAATGTTCAACCACTGCTTTTGTCTTTGCGTTTGAAAGTTGCCTGGGGTGAATACCTTTGTTGCCCGGTTACCTCTGTCGATAAAGCATCATACTCTTAATGTCAGGGGCGTGGGGTCAAGCCCCACATTGGGCGCTGTTGTCCTTTAAACACGGTGTCAGAATTGTCTGGAACTACTTATATTACATATCGAGTTGCAATCCACACCTATACAAGGCGGATGTTGATGTGAAACCTCCAAATTGAAAAGTGTGATCTTTGTAGAGACAGTAACTGCTCCTCTCTACATTTAAATCAACAAAAAGAATGTTCTGCTGCAAAACAGCAGATCCTGTGCTAAAATCCCATCAATGCAGCCCTAGAAACAATTTGCGTAAGATGCCAATTCTGTTCTATTTAAATAAAACCAAAGAATCGTGTTATGGTATTTTTTAACCTTGTTCATTGTATTCTCAAGAACTTTTTGAAGCATTTCTCTTGCACTAACAGAGGAATTGTGGCTTAGCTGGTTAAAGTGCCTGTCTAGTAAACAGGAGATCCCGGATTCAAATCCCAGCAGTACCTTTGTGATACATAAAAATCATTCTTAATTCAGTTTAGAGGCCTCCTTTCCTCCCTTTGCACATGACTGAAGGATTAGGTGATGCTGCTTAGACCTCTTTCCTTGTCTTCTCAAGAACCTGCTGAAGCATTTCAAGTTCAACAGAGGAGGTGCTGTGGCTTAGCTGGTCAAAGCATCTGTCTTGTAAACAGGGGTCCCTGGGTTCAAATCCCAGCAGTACCTGCTGTTCTGCATGAACTGGATTAACTTATCATGGCAGTTCTCCTTGCGACAGAAAATAAGTGAAAATCTTCCCTCGAAATTGTGTTAGCTGTTTCTAAACTTCAAATGTTATCAACGGCTTTTTTTCAATGTCATATGTATGTCTACCTGGCATGTCTGTGTTCCGCTCGTCAGTGAATATAGAGAATGAAAAATGCAGAGCAGCCATCGAGTTTCAAGCTTCACTTCGTTTGATGTCACTGCAATAAGATGTTTTTGACATTGTTTCAAGACCCCTTAAAGACTAGCAAAAATTGCCATGGCTGACTGTTTTTAAGTCATCCTGGCAGGGTATTGGGTTAAGTTTTCAACCAGCAATAATCATGTCTCAGGTGTCCTTCACATACTACGATATTGCCTCTGCGCAAGAATAACAGGCCGTCGCTCAAGTGTTTCTTAGCACTTGAAGGTTCAGTGGCCACACAGACGGTGCGATACTTTACCAATTTAAATGCCATATTCCTATTGCAGTTTCATGGTCCTTAAAACCATATGACAAAGAAGAAATGAAACATTTTAGTGTACAATGAAAGTGTACAACGTTGCAGGGAAGATGTGAACTGTACATCTGATAAGGCATACAAAGCATTGTGGGTAATGTTCAACCACTACTTTTGTCTTTGCTTTTGCCAGTTTTGATTGAAAGTTGTCTGGGGTTAAGCCCTTCGTTGCCTGGTTAGCTCAGTCGGTAGAGCATGAGACTCTTAATCTCAGGGTCGTGGGTTCGAGCCCCACATTGGGCGCTGGTGTCCTTTAAACACGGTGTCAGAATTGTCTTAAGCTACTTGTATACATATTGAGTTGCAATCCACACCTATCCAAGGCGGATGTTGATGTGAAACCTCCAAATAGAAAAGTGTGATCTTTGTAGAGACACTGACTGCTGCTCTCTACATTTAAATCAACAAAAAGAATGTTCTGCTGCAAAACAGCAGGTCCTGTGCTAAAATCCCATCAATGCAGCCATAGAAACAATTTGCGTAAGATGCCAATTCTGTTGTATTTGAATAAAAACAAAGAACACTTATGGTATTTTTGAACTTGTTCATTGTATTCTCAAGAACCTTTTGAAACATTTCTCTTACACTAACAGAGGTACTGTGGCTTAGCTGGTTAAAGTGCCTGTCTAGTAAACAGGAGATCCTGGGTTCAAATCCCAGCAGTACCTTTGCTATACATGAAAGTCACTCTTAATTCAGTTTAGAGGCCTCCTTTCTTCCCTTTGCACATGACTGAAGGATTGGGTGATGCTGCTTAGACCTCTTTCCTTGTCTTCTCAAGAACCTGCTGAAGCATTTCAAGTTCAACAGAGGAGGTGCTGTGGCTTAGCTGGTCAAAGCACCTGTCTTGTAAACAGGAGACCCTGGGTTCAAATCCCAGCAGTACCTGCCGTTGTGCATGAACTGGATTAACTTTTCATGGCAGCTCTCCTTGCGACAGCGACGGGGAAGATGTGATCTGTACATCTGATAAGGCATACAAAGCATTGTGGGTAATGTTCAACCACTACTTTTGTCTTTGCTTTTGCCAGTTTTGATTGAAAGTTGTCTGGGGTTCAGCCCTTGGTTGCCCGGTTAGCTCAGTCGGTAGAGCATGAGACTCTTAATCTCAGGGTCGTGGGTTCGAGCCCCACATTGGGCGGTGTTGTCCTTCAAACACGATGTCAGAATTGTCTGAAACTAGTTATATACATATCGAGTTGCAATCCACACCTATCCAAGGCGGATGTTGATGTGAAACCTCCAAATTGAAAAGTGTGATCTTTGTAGAGACACTAACTGCTGCTCTCTACATTTAAATCAACAAAAAGAATGTTCTGCTGCAAAACAGCAGATCCTGTGCTAAAATCCCATCAATGCAGCCATAGGAACAATTTGCGTAAGATGCCAATTCTGTTCTATTTGAATAAAACCAAAGAACACTTATGGTATTTTTGACCTTATTCATTGTATTCTCAAGAACTTTTTAAGCACTTCTCTTGCACTAACAGAGGTACTGTGGCTTAGCTGGTTAAAGTGCATGTCTAATAAACAGGAGATCCTGGGTTCAAAGCCCAGCAGTACCATTGTGATACATAAAAATCACTCTTACTTCAGTTTAGAGGCCTCCTTTCTTCCCTTTGCACATGACTGAAGGATTAGGTGATGCTCCTTAGACCTCTTTCCTTGTCTTCTCAAGAACCTGCTGAAGCATTTCAAGTTCAACAGAGGAGGTGCTGTGGCTTAGCTGGTCAAAGCACCTGTCTTGTAAACAGGAGACCCTGGGTTCAAATCCCAGCAGTACCTGCCGTTGTGCATGAACTGGATTAACTTTTCATGGCAGCTCTCCTTGCGACAGCGACGGGGAAGATGTGATCTGTACATCTGATAAGGCATACAAAGCATTGTGGGTAATGTTCAACCACTACTTTTGTCTTTGCTTTTGCCAGTTTTGATTGAAAGTTGTCTGGGGTTCAGCCCTTGGTTGCCCGGTTAGCTCAGTCGGTAGAGCATGAGACTCTTAATCTCAGGGTCGTGGGTTCGAGCCCCACATTGGGCGGTGTTGTCCTTCAAACACGATGTCAGAATTGTCTGAAACTAGTTATATACATATTGAGTTGCAATCCACACCTATCCAAGGCGGATGTTGATGTGAAACCTCCAAATTGAAAAGTGTGATCTTTGTAGAGACACTAACTGCTGCTCTCTACATTTAAATCAACAAAAAGAATGTTCTGCTGCAAAACAGCAGATCCTGTGCTAAAATCCCATCAATGCAGCCATAGGAACAATTTGCGTAAGATGCCAATTCTGTTCTATTTGAATAAAACCAAAGAACACTTATGGTATTTTTGACCTTATTCATTGTATTCTCAAGAACTTTTTAAGCACTTCTCTTGCACTAACAGAGGTACTGTGGCTTAGCTGGTTAAAGTGCATGTCTAATAAACAGGAGATCCTGGGTTCAAAGCCCAGCAGTACCATTGTGATACATAAAAATCACTCTTACTTCAGTTTAGAGGCCTCCTTTCTTCCCTTTGCACATGACTGAAGGATTAGGTGATGCTCCTTAGATCTCTTTCCTTGTCTTCTCAAGGACCTGCTGAAGCATTTCAAGTTCAACAGAGGAGGTGCTGTGGCTTAGCTGGTCAAAGCACCTGTCTTGTAAACAGGGGACCCTGGGTTCAAATCCCAGCAGTACCTGCCGTTCTGCATGAACTGGATTAACTTTTCATGGCAGCTCTCCTTGCGACAGAAAAGAAGTGAAAATCTTCCCTGGAAATTGTGTTAGCTGTTTCTAAACTTCAAACGTTATCAACGGCTTTTTTTCAATGTCATATGTATGTCTACCTGGCATGTCTGTGTTCCGCTCGTCGGTGAATATAGAGAATGAAAAATGCAGAGCAGCCATCGAGTTTCAAGCTTCACTTCGTTTGATGTCACTGCAATAAGATGTTATTGACATTGTTTCAAGTCCCCTTAGAGACTAGCAAAAATTGCCATGGCTGACTGTTTTCAAGTCATCCTGGCAGGGTATTGGGTTAAGTTTTCAACCAGCAATAATCATGTCTCAGGTGTCCTTCACAGACTACGATATTGCCTCTGCGCAAGAATAACAGGCCGTCGCTCAAGTGTTTCTTAGCACTTGACGGTTCAGTGGCCAGACAGATGGTGCGATACTTTACCAATTTAAATGCCATATTTCTATTGCAGTTTCATGGTCCTTAAAACCATATGACAAAGAAGAAATGAAACATTTTAGTGTACCATGAAAGTGTACAACGTTGCAGGGAAGATGTGAACTGTACATCTGATAAGGCATACAAAGCATTGTGGGTAATGTTCAACCACTACTTTTGTCTTTGCTTTTGCCAGTTTTGATTGAAAGTTGTCTGGGGTTAAGCCCTTTGTTGCCCGGTTAGCTCAGTCGGTAGAGCATGAGACTCTTAATCTCAGGGCCGTGGGTTCGAGCCCCACATTGGGCGCTGTTGTCCTTTAAACACGGTGTCAGAATTGTCTGAAACTACTTATATACATATTGAGTTGCAATCCACACCTATCCAAGGATGTTGATGTGAAACCTCCAAATAGAAAAGTGTGATCTTTGTAGAGACACTGACTGCTGCTCTCTACATTTAAATCAACAAAAAGAATGTTCTGCTGCAAAACAGCAGATCCTGTGCTAAAATCCCATCAATGCAGCCATAGAAACAATTTGCATAAGATGCCAATTCTGTTGTATTTGAATAAAAACAAAGAACACTTATGGTATTTTTGAACTTGTTCATTGTATTCTCAAGAACTTTTTGAAACATTTCTCTTACACTAACAGA